GCTCCCATCCCGGCCATGTCCCCATCCCGGCTGCGTCCCCATCCCTGCCTGGCCCATCCCGGCCACGTCCCCATCCGAGCCCTCTCCCCGTCCTCACTGCGTCCCCATCCTGGCCACATCCCTGTCCCCTTCCCAGCTGCATCCCCATCCCTGCCTGGCCCATCCCGGCCACGTCCCCATCCCGGCTGCGTCCCCATCCTGGCCACATCCCTGTCCCCTTCCCAGCTGCATCCCCATCCCTGCCTGGCCCATCCCGGCCACGTCCCCATCCCGGCCACGTCCCCATCCCAGCCCTCTCCCCGTCCTCACTGCGTCCCCATTCCGGCCACGTCCCCATCCCGGCCACGTCCCTGTCCCCATCCCGGCCACGTCCCCGTCCCGGCCACATCCCTGTCCCCTTCCCAGCCCACCCGGGCGCACGCGGCCCCAGCCTGGCCCTGTCCCCATCCTGGCCACGTCCCTGTCCCTGTCCCTGCCCGCCCGGGATCCTGCAGCCCCATCCCAGCCCTGTCCCCGGCCCTGTCCCCATCCTATCCCCGTCTCTGTCCACATCCCTGTCCCTGTCCCCATCCCCGTCCCCACCCCTGTCTCCATCTCATCCCTGTCCCTGTCCCCGTCCCTGTCCCCATCCCACCTCTCCTCTCCCACGCCATATCCCCATCCCATCCTTACCCCGTCCCCGCGCGTGTCCCCGTCGTGTCCCATCTTCCCCCCGTTCAAACCCTCATCCGACTCCCATCCCTTTCCCCGCGTCCCACGCCGCCCTGCGTGGCCGTCCCCATCRCGCCCCTTGTCGTCCCCGCAGATGGAGCAGATCAAACGCGCCAACCGCCTCTACACCTCGGACACCATCTTCCTCAAACCCACGCTCCTCATCCCCGGCCAGCTGGGCCCCGGGGACGAGGACGAGGAGGACGAGGAAGAGGAGGGAGCCTCCGGAGCTGCTGGCGCGGCCGCCTCATCCCACCCCGACGTCTCGGCTGCCGATTTCCTGCAGCGGATCGACGCCGACATCCGCCTGCGCGCGGCGGGGACGGTGACAACGGCAGCGACGCGGTGCCCGGGCCCCGCAGGGTGAGGCCCCCGCGGGACCCCCCCAAAGGCAGCCRCTGCCCCCGGCGCTGCCGCCCACCCCCTTGTCCTTGTGCCCCCCGCAGCGGCGACACCGACGGTGCCCGGGCGGCCCCACGGGGCGCCCTGCTCGGCCCGCGGCCCCTGACGAGGACGCCGCGCGCGGCCGCCCTGCGCGACGCCGAGGACGAGATCTTCACGCTGTGACGGGGACGCCCCGCTGGGGCACCCCAGGGTGCTGGGACAGCGCTGCCTTTCCCACCCGACACCCACCCTTCGGATCCTATTTATTTAGAGTAGTTTTCTCCCCGGGGGGGGGACCCACTTTTCCCTGTGCCAGCACCTGGTTCCCCCCGGGAGTTTGGGGCCTTCTGGGGATGGGGTTTGTCACCCCGCTTTGCCTTCCCTGTAACCCGGGCTGGGCAATAAATGTGGAGCACTGTCACCCGGCTGCGCCTGCTCCGGGGACACAGTTATCCCCGGGGGGACGGTCGCCCCCTCGGCCAGGGCCCTGGGGACACCGCCACCCCTCCGGGCACGCGCTGGGGACGGACGAGGCGGGAAGGYGTCACCCCGTGCTGGAAACCCGCGCCAGGCGGAAAGGGCTCGATACCCGTTGCTTTTAATGGCGATTCTCGGCATCAATCTTTTATTCCAAAGTTGCTCCGTGTGGGAGGCTGGGAAGGACAAAACGCTTTGGGAATGTCCAAGGACGCCACGGGTGTTTGGGGGTGTCTGTGAGGGATCCCCGGGGCGCGCAGGGCTCCCCCGGGGCTGCAGGATGCAAATCCCCATGGCCACCAGCCTCCCTGCTCCCAAACGGGAGCTTTTTCCATCCGGAAGCGGGGCGTTTTCCGTCCTGCTTCCTGCCCGCCGGGTGCCGCCAGCTCCTGCGTCCTCGCCAGCGTCCGGATCCGTCCCCAGCCGCAGCCGGCGGCGTGTGGCACTTACTGACCTTGCCTGAGGTAGATTAGCGACGTCCCCGCTCGCAAACGGGGACGCGGAGGCGCCGCGGGAGCGGGGACGTCCGTCCCGCACCGCAGGAACCGCCCGGGATCAGCGGCGGCCCTTGGGAAAACCCTTCCCGAGGCCAAACCCTCCGAGGGCGCCGCTCCGGGACCCCGAGAGGCGGCAGCTCTCCCTGCATCCCGGGAGGGGACGAGCGGCAGGGCCGCTGCTCCCATTCCCATCCCGCCGGCCGTCGCGCTCGCCGCTCCGTCCTGCTTTTCCCGGAGCTCCGGGCTCTCCGGGAGCGGCTGCCGGCGCTCACTGCGGCTCGCGCGCCAGCTGCTGCTCCCACTCGGCCTCCACCACCTTGTAGAGCTCCATGGTGGCCCTGGCGTCCTCCACCGAGGAGTGGCCRCTCTTGCCGACCTGCGGGACGCGGACGAGCGCTCGGCACCGCCCGCGGCTCCGGGCACAGGGCAAAGCGCCACCGAGGCCCACGGTGACACACAGGCACCTGGGCAAGGGGCCCGCACCAACCACAGCTGCTCCCAGGGCTGCTTTCCCGGGAAGGGGAACGGGAGCTGGCACCACAGAGGGTGACATTAACCCTCCCAGGGGACAAAGCAGCGGGGCCGCACGTCSCCCTGCTCCCGTTGTCGCCTCCAGGCCCTTTCTGCCCCCGTCACACGTCCTGCTCCAGGAGCGGAACCGGAGCAGGCCGGAGGGACCCGGAGGGGACAGCGCGGGGCCGCCGGCGCCTACCTGGATGTCCCTGTTGAGCAGCTGCTTGACGAGGCGCTTCAGGGACACGGCGACGTTCTCGGGGAAGCCGCCCTTACGGTTGAGCAGCGGCATGCGGGACGTGTCGCGGGTCAGCGCCGGCGGGTGGAAGTACCGCAGCGCCTTGAAGTCGTTGCTGATGGCGTGGCCGACCACCACCTTCCCCGCGAGGATCTTGAGGATCTGCGGGGGGGCGAGGACACGGGGGTGACAACCGCCTGGGGCCACCCCTAGAAGGGTCCCGCATAGCCCTAAATGTCCACAGGGGTGAAAACCGCCTGGGGCCACCTCTAGATGGGCCCACATAGACCTCAGTGTCCACAGGAGCGACACCCCATGGAAGGTCCCGCACAGCCCTAAGTGCCCATGGGGGTGACAACCGCCCGKGGTCACCCCTAGAAGGGCTCGTATAGCCCCAAGTGACCCGCTGGGGTGGGGGTGCCGCTCTGTGTCCCCCCAAAGCCGCGTCCCTCCGCTGCGTGCCCCACGGCAGGGCGCCCCGGGAAGGGGAACGCAGCTCGGAGCGGGGCGGGAGCGTCCGTGCGGGACGAGACGCTGCGGCCGGGACACCGCCCGCTTGTCGGGGCGCTGCCGCTGCCGCTGCCGGTGCCGGTGCGGCGGGCCCCACCTGGCGCCGCGCGGCGGCGAAGGGCACGGCGCCCTGCAGGTGCCGCGGGCGGACGCCGCTCCAGCGCGTGCGGTAGTCCACGACGGGCTCGGGCGGCCGCACGTAGCGGTCGTAGAGGACGGCGCCGTCGTAGGCCACGATGCTGCAGCGCGCCAGGGCGCTCGTGCGCCCGCCGGGGCCCGTGCCCACCATCTCGCAGTCGAGCGCGGCCACCGCACCGGGAGGCGCCGCGCGGCCGCCGCGGAGCCGCCTCCCGCCGCCGCCGCCGCCGCCGCGCGGGGCCCTCGCGGCGCCGCCCGCCGCCCGCGGCCTCCCCGCCGGCAGCTGCTTCTGCCGCAGGACGCCCTTGGCCTCCAGGAAGCGGCGCCGCCGCACGAAGCTCCGGTGCTTCCGGTTGCCGCCGCCGCTGCCGCCGCCGCCCGCGGGCTCCGGCGCCTCCACGCTCACGTTGAGGATCAGCTCGGACATGGCGGCTGCCGAGGGGGCGTGTCCTGCCCAGCCCCAAGCCCCGCCCCCCTGCCCGGTCCCGCCGCCCCCACCGCGGCGCACGCGGCGCGAGCCGGAAGCGGAAGTGGCCGCCGCGGCCCCTCGTGGGACACGCAGGAAGGCATCGAGCATGCGCGCGAGCCGCGGGCCGGGCGGAAGCGGCGCTCTGCGCCTGCGCGCGGCGCGGCGGGCCCTCCCCCTCCCCGCGGGGGCGCATGCGCAGGGAGCGCGGCCCGGCGCCGCGCAGGCGCAGTGCTGAGGCGGGAACCATAGAGGCGGCAGGCGGTGAGCGGCGGCGGGGCCGTCTCTATGGCGCGGGGCGGGGCGGGGSGAGGCCTAGCCGGGGAGGCGGCGCTGGCGTCACGGGTGACGTCACGCCGCGGGGGTGACGTCAGGACGTTGCAGGGCTGGCATGGCGGCGGCCGCGGGCGGGGAGCTGTGGCGGGAGCGGCAGCGGGCGGCCGACATCGCGCGCGTCCTGGCGCTCTACCGGCCGCTGCTCGACGCCTACGTGGTGGTGAGTGACGCGGCCCCGCCGCCGCGGCGCCGTGACGTCAGCACGAGGCCGCGGTGACGTCAGCACACTGCCGCTGTGACGTCACCACGACGTCACCATGATATCTTTGCACCCGCGCCGCAATGTCACTCTGACGTCAGCATGGCATCGCCGTGACGTCACCGCGGTGTCTCCATGAGGTCATGGCGACATCACCGTGATGTCACTGTGACGTCACCACGCTGTCCCCATGACACCATTGCGGCCACCCCGCGCTGTTACCGACACATCGCTGCAGCATTGCCATGCTGTTATGGTGACGTCACTGCGGCATCATCATCATGGCATCGCTATGATGTCACCAGGCATCACCATGATGTCACAGCAGTGTCATGGTGATGTCACAGCAGCGTCGCCGTGATGTCACCACAGCATCACTGTGACGTGGCTGTGCGGTCACCACGGCATCACTATGATGTCGCCGCGATATCACTGTAATGTCCCGCGATGTCCCCACGGCATCACCGTGACGTCACCACGGCATCACCGTGACGTCACCGTGACGTCACCGTGGCGCCCCCCTTCCTGCAGGAGTTCTTCGCCGAGGACCTGTGGGCGCAGCTGCCGCCCTCGTGGCAGGCGGCGCTGGCGGCGGCGCCGGCCCCGCAGCTCGCGGCCCGGCTGCTGGAGCCGCCCGGTACCAGTGCCGGTACCGGAGCCGGTACCGGAGCCGCCGCCGTGTGGCCGCTCTCCCTGCTGGCCTTCCGCGCCACGGCCCAGGCGCTGGCCTTCCCCCGCCACCGGCACCGGCCCCGGCGCCAGCGGAGCGGCCCGGCCGAGTTCCGGCACAACCGGAGCCAGAGCGCCGCACTGCACCCGCTGCTCCGCAAGCACGTCAAGCCCAAGAAGCAGCACGAGATCCGGCGCCTGGGCAAGGTGGGTGCCACACGGCGCCGCCGGCACCTGGCGACGCCACCGGCGCCCGCCACGACCCCGGTGGTGCCGCGGACCTGCCGGTGCCGGTGCCAGCGCCGCCCGCTGCTCCCCACGCAGGTGGTGAAGCGCCTGAGCGAGGCGGCCGGCTGCGACCGCGTGGTGGACGTGGGCTCGGGGCAGGTAGGACGCGGCGGGGGCTGCCGCGGCGGGACRCGGCGGCACCGGCAGCGCCCCTTGTCCCCGCTCAGGGCCACCTCTCGCGCGTGCTGGCCTTCGGGCTGGGGCTGCCCGTGAGCGCCGTGGAGGCCGACGGGCGCCTGGTGCAGGCGGCCGAGCGCTTCGACCGGGAGCTGCTGCGGGCGCTGCGCAAGGCGCACGCGCGCGGCGACGAGGTGAGGACGCGGCGGCGCCGGCGGCACCGCCACCCGCACGCACAACCGGCCTCATCCGCGCTGCCCCGCAGGTGCCGCTGTCCCCGCGGCCTCCGGAGCACGTGGCCGGGCGCCTGGACCCGCGGGCGCCCTGGCAGC